TGTTCAGTTAGATGACTGCCTGGCAGCTGTTGCTGGGACAAAATAATGTGCTTCTCTCTATATGAACTAGAAGGTACTGTTGTTTTCTCAGTCTTCTGGTCAGCAGGTCCAGAAACAGCTGAAACTCTTAGAGCCTCTTCAGTTTGATGACTGTTTCCCAAGGCCTGTGGGTAGAAAATACTGGGCTTCTCTCCTTGTGTGTTGGAACCTGAAGGGATTGTAGATATGCCAGTATTTTGGTCAGCTAGTTCAGGAATAGCTGAAACATTTAGTGTCTCTTCAGTTACATGACCATCTGCCAATATCTGTTGGTTGAGAGTATCAATATGTTGATCAATGGTATTCTCCACAGAAGACCTTACAGGGGACAAGGGTAAATGAGATCCAATGTGTGAATCTCCAGGAGTGGTAGTGATGCCTGGTTTCAAGTTGGATTGAGTAATTTCAGTTATGCCTCCTTTAGAAGTATCTCCTAAAGAAAAGGAGATTTGTTATTATAAATTTTTTGAATTAAAAATAATATTTGTTATTCACTAAAAGAAATAAAGCAAGATTTGCATCCTTAGAACTTTTATACTTCTAGAATGGAATCCTAATGAAATAGTCATCAAAGGATACAAACATGTATACTCAAAGATATTTATTACAAAGACACTTAAAGAAACAATCTAAAAAAAATGTGTAAAAACTTTAAATACTCAACAATCACGCAATAAATTAAAGATAGCAGTATTTTTTATGGCTACATGCAGATCTTAAAATTTGGATTTTTAAAGAATTCTCAGTGTGGCGGGAAAACGGTCTCTACTCTGGAATTTGATTTCACACTTCTTATAAGCCAATAAGTTAGCCTGTTATTGGGTCATATCTGCTGGCAGAAAATATAAGACTCCTCAATCGAGACAAAATACTTTATTCCATACATAGCAAAAGTTGATCAACTTATTTTCATGGATTACCCTTTCCGCCAAGACCTACAAGGGCTGTGCAATATGGCCCAGAGGGATGCTATGCTTTCTCCTAATAAATGCGCCCATAATAAGATACGTATTTTCAATTATGAGAAACTTTAAATACTACAAAGGCTATGTTAAGATGTTTGAACTTAATTCTACATGGCATGGAAATTGTTGACAGATAAGATCAGAACTATACTGCAGAAATATAGATTCAAGGTGGGTGGGAAAGGAATACAAAAGTGTAATCAGAACTTTTGAAAACAATGGAAATGTTCTATATTTGTACTGTCTGATACAGTAATTCTAAATAAAAGTAGTTCTAAATGGCAGTGGAAAGTAAATGACTGCAATATAAATGGCAAGATTTGACAAGTAATGTGTTCATTCATTTATTCATTAAAAAAATGAATGTTAAGGGCCGGCCAAGTGGCGCGATGGTTAAGAACTAGCTTGGGACGCCAGAGGGCCCCGGTTCAGATCCCACATATGAGGGCCAGTGACACTGCCCTCCACAGCTAAAATGCTGAACAACAGCTCAGCCTGGAGCTGGGCTGCCATGTATCGCCGGTAACAGCATAGGCTGCAGCCCCTGTGGCAGTGGGTTGCCATGGGTATGTAGCCAGCAGCCAGCGTGAGGGACCAGCAGCCGCTATGAGCAGCCGTCCAGAAGCCGGCGACTAATCTGCCTCGTCTAGGAAGAGCGCAATGATGGTGTCAACTTGGGCCAGTGAAGCAACGTCCTCCACAACTAGACTGAAGAACAAAATGACAGCAACTTGTCTGTTTCCCTTCCCCCAATTCCCCAATAAAAATCTTAAAAAAAAAAAAAATGAATCTTAACATGGCCCAGTCATGATTCTAGATATAGGAAATAGAACCAACAAATAAATAGACAAAGCTTACATTCTAATAGAAGGAAACAGACAATAAATTGGTAAAACATATAGTGTGTCAGATGTAAGATGAATGATATATACAGCAAGTATTATCTATAACTTATGAGTAGGGAAATTAAGTTTCAAAGATAACAATGTAAAAGTACTGCTCAATGTAAAGATCTTGTTAAATTCTGATTCAGTAGATCTGGGGTGGAACCTCAAATTCTGCATTTCTAACAATCTCCCTGGTGATACCCAAAACTATTGGTTCTCAGGCCACACTTTGAGTAATAAAGATATATTTCTCTAGAATTGTACAGTGAGTGTATCACAAAACCAGGCACTTTAGCCTTCTAATTCTAACTAAAAATTCTGAACTCTTTTCACTAAAACTGGCTGCCACTTTAAACTCATTGGTGAGCTTCAAGAAAGTAGCTAAACATAAAATGAAATGGGATAAGGAGTGAATTGTAAGGTAAAAAAGCAGAAATGGCAAGTATTAACTCTTCAAAAAACTAAAAGAGAAGGAAAGAATGGGTGCTGCATAGTAACTTTAGAAAGACATGGGTTATGAAAATTTTTGTGAGGGAACAAAAGGCTCAAGAAATTAATAAATCAAAACATAATGGGTCAAAGAAGAAATCAAAAGAGAAAGTTAAAAATACCTTGAGACAAATGGAAATACAAGATACCAAAATTAATGGGGTGCAACAAAAGCAGTTCTAAGAGGGGAGCTTATTGAAATAAATGCCTATATCAAAAAACAAGAAAAATCTTACATAACCTAAAAGAAGTAGAAAAACAAGAGCAAATAAAGCCCAATGTTAGTAGAAGGAAGGAAACAAAGGTCAGAACAGAAATAAATGCTAACACAGAGAATGAAAAGATAATAGAAAAGGTCAATGAAGCCAAGAGCTGCTTCTTTAAAGATAAACAAAATTGACAACCCGTTGGCTGGACTCACCAAGAAAAAAAGAGACAGGACTCAGTTAGAATCAGAAATGAAAGAGGAGACATTACAACTGATACCAGAGAAATACAAAAGATAGTAAGAGACTGCTACGGGAATTAAACACCAACAAATTTGACAACCTAGAAGAAATGGATAAATTCCTACAAACATACAACCTACCAAGACTGAATCATGAAGAAAGAGAAAAATCTAAACAGACAGATCACTAGTAAGGAAATTGAATCAGTAATAAAATACTTCCAACAAACAAATATCCAGGGCCAGCCATGTGGCGCATTGGTTAAGAGTTGCCTTGGAAGTGCCGGCTCTGAACAGCAGGGCCTCAGTTCAGAACCCACATGAGAGCCAATGACACTGCGCCCTCTACAGCTAAGATGGTGAACAACAGCTCGACCTGGAGCTGAGCTATCGTGAGTTGCCAGTCGACGGCGTAGCCTGCAGTGAAGCTGCAGTGGGCTGCCATAAGCTACCGTGTGTGGCTGCCAGCCAGCGTGAGCAGCTGGCAGCTGATATGAGCTGCCGTGAGCGGCCATCTGGTGGCAGGCGACCAATTGCCTCACTCAGGAAGAGCGCAATGATAATACCAATATGGGCCAATGAAGCAACATCCTCCACAACTAGAATGAAGAACAAAAGGACAGCAACTTTCTGTTCTCCTTCCACGACTCCTCAATGCTGTTCCCCTCCCCCAATTCCGCAATAAAATCTTAAAAAAAACAAAAACAAACAAAACAAAAACAAACAAACAAAAACAAATATCCATTTCTGGGTATTTATGTTAAGAAACCCACAGCACTAATTTAAAAAGACATATAGACCCCCTATGCTCATTGCAGCATTATTTATTATACAATAGCCAAGAAATGGAAGCAACCTAAGTGTCCACCGATAGACAGATGGATAAAGAAGATATGATTGGGTATATACAATGGAATATTACTCAGTCATAAAAAAGAATGAAATCATGCCATCTGCAACAACATGAATGGACCTAGAGGGTATTATACTAAGAGTAAACCCAACAGAGAAAGACAAATGCCATATGATTTCACTTATGAGTGGAATTTACAGAACAAAATAAACAAACAAAACAGAAACAAACAGATACAGAGAACATTTTAATGGTTGTGAGATGGGAGGGGGGTTGGTGGGGTGGGTGAAAAAGGGGAAGGGATTAAGAAGTACAAATTGGTAGTTACAAAACAGTCAAGGGGATGAAAAATGTAGCATAGGAAATATAGTCAATACTGTAACTGTATAGCATCAGATGGGTGCTAGATTTATCAGAGTGATCACTTCGAAAGTTATATAAATGACTAATTGCTATGTTGTACGCCTTAAACTAATATAATATTGTATGTCAACTGTAATTGAAAAATAATAAATTATTTTAACTTTTTTATATAAATATTTGCTCTCCCTACTTCTCTTGTCTCCTTTAAAATATGTAAAATTATATAATTATAACAATATATTCTTGGGTTTGTAACACATATAGACGTAGTATGTATATAAAAATAATAGCATAAAAAAGGAAGAGGGAATAGAGCTATGCCAGAGTAATGTCTCTGTATCATACTAAAGTAGTATAAATCAGGAGTATATGACGATATGATAAATTTTGTAAGTCCTACAGCAACTACTAAGAATATATTGGGTTGTTGGAAAAGTCATGGTGTATTTTTTCTATGTTTTTCATTGCAAAAACGCGTCGTGACTTTTCCGACAACCTAATAACTTTAAAAAATAACTAGAAAGTCATTAAAGAACCTAAAATGTCACACTAGAAAATATTCACTTAATGCACTAAAAAAATAAAGTACAATAGAATGGAAGAACACAAAAGACATGAGACATATGGAAAATAAAAGGTAAACCAGAAAATGTAAACCCAATCTTATCCATAATGACACTAAATGTGAATGGATTAAACAATCCCATCAAAAGGCAAAGATTATCAGTCTGCATTTTTCTTTTTGTTTTTTTTACTTTTTGTTCTTTCTTGTTTTTTATTTTATCAGTCTGCATTAAAAAGAAAAAAATCTAGCTATAAGCTCTTTATAAGAGATGTACTTTAGATTTAAAATACAAATAGATTGACAAAAGGGATGAAAAAGATATGCCATACAAAAAGCAACCGTAAGAGCTAGAGTATCTATACTGACATAAGGCAAAAATTTAAAACAAAAAAGTTACTAGAATTAAAGGACAATTTACATCCACAAAAAAGTCAATCATCAGGAATGTAACATATTATAAATTATAATACATAAACATAAATGCACTTAATATCATATCTCAAAATATATGAAGTAAACCTGACAGAAAAGAAGGGGGAAGCAGACAATTAAACAGTAATAGTTGGAAATTTCAATACCCTACTTTCAAAAATGGAGAAAACAAGTAGGCAGAAGATCAACAAGGAAGCAGAAGACTGGAACACTGTAAATCCACTAGAACTAACAGATATGTATAGAACTCACCACCTAACAACAGCAGAATGCACATTCTTCTTAAGCACAAACTATACATTCTACAGGATAAACTATATGCTAGGACATAAAATAAGCTTCAACAAAATTTAAAAACTGAAATCATACAAAATATATGTTCTCCCAAAAAAACAATCAAATGAGATCTCAATAGCAAAAGGAAATCCATG